ATTATAATTTTTATATTTTTAATTTTTTTTTTTAAGATAAGGTTTTGTCTTTATTTTTATTAATAATTTGTATTAAGAATCTGCTAGGGGTTTCTCTAGTTATTAAGACTAATAATTACAAATTTTTTTATAAGAATAAGACTTAGACTAATTTATTTGTAATCTAAACCTATTAGAGTAGTTAAAAACTTATTTAGATTCTATAATTTATAATATTATTAGTAGGTGTATTATATTTTATCTAATTAATTAACTATGTAAATGCTTTTTTTAATTACTTTACCAAGAGGTGAGCAGTTATTATCTATATGTTGTTGGTCAGATAAACCATAGCAGCAGCTATAAGTATATGGTATTCTTGATTATAAGTTGTTAAATAAAGATAAAGTGTTTTGTTTAGTTTGATTTCTATTCATATGTGTGGATATATTGTGTTGTTGTTTCTAGTTTAATAACTGAGTACAGTATAGTTTTCAAATTAGATTATATATACTCTAAGATAATTGCAAGAGTAGTCAATAGTAATATTTGTTGCTATCTTATTGGAGTCTATATATTTTCGAATTGTTTGTATAAGTATAATAGATATAAATATTTGAATAGTTGTAAAGATATTTGTGTTGTTTCTAGTATAGTTGTCAAGTAATAGACTTGGATAATTAGTAAGCTTGTGATATAGCTTTTGAAGTTGAATATTTGTTATATCGAGTTTGGTTAATTGCAAAAATTGCTGTATTGTATTGGTAATAATTATATTTAGATTAGATGTATTTGGATATATGAGCTAATATATATAGCCCTTGTGGAAGTTGCAAAAAATACAATTGATGTTTGAAAAGTATTGAAATTATAAGGTATATAAGTATAATAATATAGATAGTATATTAAACATAAGTTTAATTTTGAACGTTTTTTCTTGACAGAGTTTAAAGTTAGTACAGAAGGATAATTTTTTGTAATTGTTGTTAAGGTAGAGCCAGGTAGTATTCTAGTTAATTTGTATTGCTAGTAGAATAATATTTTTTATTTAGTATTGAGAGGACCATATTGCTATAATATGACTATTGCAAATATTTTTAATCAATTTGCAAGTTGGTTATTCAAATATATAAATTGTATATTGTAGATAATATAATAGGTTGTAAATATTGCTATATAAAAGTTCAAGGTTAGTTATATGATTATAGTTTTTTGCTAACCTATCAGCTGTATCATTAAGTATATTATTGCTATATACTGTAATTTTTTGAAGTTCAATTGTTAATTTATAGAAATTAATTAAGTTTAATAGCATATACTAGATTAGCCAATAGTTATATAAGTATTGTTTGTTTGATCTCAATAAATATTTCATGAGTTTGTCAAACTTAAATATTATAAATTGTGAGTCAGTATAGATAGTAATATTACTATTTCATGGATATATGCAGATTGCAGAGAGGATTGCAAGTAGTTTAGCTTTGTAAGAGAAGAGCCAAAGTTGAATTATAGTAGAGTAACTATAGTATAGTGTTGTTAGCTATTTGAATCTAGCCAATATCTATTGTATATCATTTTGTGTAATATCACTAACTGATCTATCAGTATAAAATACTAGTTGTGTATAAATTGTATTCTTTATTGCTATTTCTTGCAAGGTCTGTAAGGATTAATTATTTTTAAAGATCTTAAATATTGCATTGTTATAAATTATAACTATTGGTAGACTTGATATAGAAGTTGGGTTATATAATACAATTGAGTATATTGAGTCTAATAAATTAGTATAAAAATTCAGTTTGTTAGGAATATTGTTTGCTGTTTTTTACATAGAAGTTTGTTAGATAGGTTGGTTAGAATATTAATTGTATATGTATTTTGAATTCGATTAGAGTTGAGTAGATATCTTGTATATAATCTACAGGTATATACTGGTGATAAATAAAGATTGGTATAGGAGTAGTCAAATTTAATTTGCTAATATATAATAAATATTGTATTGTTGTGATAGTAGTATCTTTTGGCTTTCTCTAAAATTATATAGTATTAATATTATTATTATATATAATTAGCCAAGGTTTAGATTTATTATTGTAATATCTAGTATTAAATAATAGAGTGTTAGTATTAGATAATTGTAGTTGAATATTAATTAATCTAACTTGTTGATCTGTAATAATTTTGTTCTCTAGTATTGTGAACCATAGTGGTTTGCATCTTTAGAAATATGTTGTAGTCTTGGTAAAATATATAACTAGTCAAGCAACACTATATTGTTATATAATATAAATTGTTTTTTTTTTAAATATTAAAGTAATCTCTTGGTCAGTAGCTTTATTGATTATATGTGCTAAGCTGATCGTAGTTAGCTGCTACTTATTTGATATATGATTTTGGAGAATACAACTAGCCACACATAGAGATCTGATCTATTAAATAATTATTCAGATATTTGATAAATATTTAAATATTCAGATATACAATAATATCACCAAATCAAGTATCGAATATATTTATTATTTACTAATAAATTCAATGAATATTCGATGATATTTGGTGATACAAGTTAAATATGTAATTTAAGAAATAACGATATAACTTTATTAAATATTTCTATTTTAAAGTATAATAATCGTTTAAATAGATATTAGAGTAGACAAATCTTATTTTTCGACTATTTTACTAACAATTGGAACTGGTCCAATTTACAGTTAGTCTAGTTTAAAGTTAGTATAGATAGTAGTGATGATTTTAGTAGCAATAGTAGCAAAAGTACTAGTTTATTTTATATAATCAGGAATTTTGCTTCTAGTTGTGATATTTAGATTGTACAGACTCAGATCACTTTTGCACATCTCAATGCTTTCAATGCAATCTAAGCCAGAACCTTATGCTCACAGGTGCCTAACTCATATTGTGAGGCATGAATATATGCTAGAGTTGCAAGCTTATAGAAAGATATTTGTATGATTAGCAATTTAAATCAATTTAATTTTACATTATTTATATGGTTTAAAGTACTTTTTAAAAAAAAAAAAAAAAAAAAAAATAATCAAAATCTCTTTGTTTTAGAGAAGTTAGCATAATAGCGACTTCTTAAAGATAGATAGAATTAGGTTATTATCATGCTAGCTTCTCTAAAACAAAAAAAGATTTTGATTATTTTTATAATGGAGTCCAACAACCCTAATAAAACTTTTCTTTTTTGTTTATTCTTCGTAGTTTTATTTTTTTTAAAAAGTACTTTAAACTGTATAAATAATGTAGAATTAAATTGATTCAAACTGCCAATCATACAAATATCTTTCTATGATATGAGTTGCAGGCTCTATGAATCTGAATATTCTATAAAAAATAAAATATTCTAAGGTACATACTGTATAATACATGATCTTTCTCATGCCCAGACCTCGAATCATTTAAACCAAATAAGTAAAGTAATAAAATTTATAGTCGCGTCTATTCTTTGAACATAAAAAAATTAATAATAACAAAATAGGCAAGGCTGCGTTAAAGGCTATACAATTAAATGTAAAAACCTATAGTAAAATTCTAAGAAACTTTCAAATTCACACTAAAAAGAGATTAGAAGAATGCTTAGTATAAGGAATTCATATATAAAATAAATATAAAGCATTTAATTATTTTCATAAGATTAGTTAGTCAAATCAAGTCTATAAGAAAAAAAAATTTTAGATGATTACTTCTTTCTTTTACAGCCCCTTTCGATGACTTTTTTGTTCTCTTCATTGAAAATTCATATGATAGAATAGATTAGATGGAATGTAATTGAAATTTTTATTCACTTCATTGAAAATTCATATAATAGAATAGATTAGATAGAATATAATCAAAATTTTTGTAAAGTTATAAAAGAAAAGAAAAATCGAATTAGTAAAATCATGAATTCGGATTAGCAATAACTCGAAGAAAGCTTCTTTGTACCTCTAAAACATTTAAATTTTTATAAAAATTTAGTGTATTGTTATTCTTGTCTTATTAATTGCTGTAATTTTAAATTCTTGCACAAGTCATATATCTCAAATTAAGCTTTCTATTATTTTACTAAAGCTTCTGGTTTAATATATATCTGCTATGGAAAATGATAATTTACAGTCTCTTTCATCAGTTCAGTCATTCGATAAACTACAAGCTAACCAATCTGAAAGTCCAGAATTAGAGTATATATATACGAGTAAAGAAAGCAACAATGAATTATCTGAAAAACCAATGAATAAAAAAACAAAATTGGGCCATAGAGGTGGATCAAAAAAAATGAAGTTGGGTATGAAAATATTTCACATCAGAAAAAGTAATTGAAACTAAAGAAGGGTCTAAAAATATTAAGGTCAAAGTTACATATGATATTTGTTGTATACTGAATGATTCAAAAACAAACTGTGGTGCATGATTAAAGATATTAGGCAGATCAACCTTAAATTTAATATCTTATTTAACAAACACCTATAGTATTACACCAAATGGACCTAAATTACATGAAGAAGATGTATAAATTATTTTTTATATAGCAATTACAGTCTACTCTTTCTTAATCAAACCTAGACAAAATAAGCTTTTAATTTTGTTTAAACCGATCTTAAAAATTTATATTTTATCATAAAGTCAGTTTAAACACTACATACTTTTTAAAATAAATTCTTTTCATTTTTTTTAATAAGCCCCAGGATTTGGTGCAGAAAGAATTGACTATATTAGTTTTTGTAAAAATTATTTAATAAAAAATTTTTTTATCTAGCCCAAGCAAATCAAAATTGATTTTTTTGCAAAATTCAGTCCTTATCTATATACTAAATTGAAGAATGATAAGTTGACTAAAGCTCTTGTTAAGTTTCTTATCCAAGACGCACAACTAATTAGTCTTGTAGTAAGTACTAACTTTCGTGAGTTCATAAAGGAATTAGATTCGATGTTTAGTTTACCTAATGAAAAACATATAAAACAAATAATTCATACATTATATAATAAATCTTCTGAGATTATAAAAAAAAGCTCAAGAATTCTATAATATATTGTTTACTAACTACTGATTTGTAGACATCTTAGAATAGACAAGGGTATCTTGGTGTTATCTGCTTGTGGCTAGATTTTGATTTCAAAATCCACAAAGTATTACTTTCTTTTATATATATCAGATATCCTTATATTGCCAATGTCATTAAAGAAAAATTAGAAGAAGTAATTGAAGAATGGGGTCTTACCAGAAAGATATATTCAATTACGACCGATAATAGGTTCAACATGAAAGCAGCAATTAAAAAAATGAGTAATATAGTAAGAATCTCCTGTTCAGTGCATATATTACAACTCATTGTTAAAAAAGATTTGATGCTTGTTGAAGCACTTGTGGTACAGGCCAAGCGATTAATCAATTTTTTTATAGCACCAAAACAAAGTAAACAACTCGAAGATGCTCAAAAAACGCTTAGACTTCTGGAGAATGATGTATGTAATTTTTAATAAAAATAATTAAAATATGTATAACTTAAACAAATCTCACTTTATTAACAATTGTTTCACCAATATAGAGTTATCAATAAAAATATTTCAAACTACAATAAAATATATAAACTATTCTACTTTTAAATTAGAATAGTCTATATATTTTATTATAGTTTGGAATATTCTATTGATAACTATAATAACAAGATATTCTATAGTTTTTGTATTTGTATAATATATAGATAGTTAATAATTAAAATATCTATTATCATAGATAATTACCAAAACTTCAACATACCTTTGTGCAAAAATAGATATGTCAACTCGTTGGAATTCATCCTTTCTTGCTTGGGAACAACTTCTACTTATTAAAGATACTATTAACATTGTCTTAGCAACATTAACTATTTCAAATATACCTGAAGCACAGAAAGATACAAAAAGGTTAAAAGAAATACAATTAACCGATAATGAGTGGGATTTGATATAAGATATTGTTAATATTTTGGGTTCTTTTTTTGAAGTTACAGAAATATTCGGTAGTTCTGAATATGCCACATTTTTCTCTATAATTTTCTTTATTTTAGGATTGATGGAAAAGTTAGGCTGCTCTACAAACTATCCAAACAAATCAATTTATATAAATTTTGAAATAACTGACTTAGTATTCGATGATAATGTTGGATTTGTTGTTGCACAGAAAAAGGAAGAAGATGGCTCTAAAGAACGAAAAATTAAAATCAATTCACCTATTAATATTACTAATATGCAACACAAAATTAAGAATACATTATATGATGTACTTTTACACTATTGGGATTTGTCAAATAATGAATTATTCCTTGCATACCTTCTGGATCTGAGGTTTAAAAAATTAAGACTTGCAATATCAACCCAACAAATCCAAGCCAAA